ACCACAATTTATTCATTCATCTGTTGATGGACATTTTTGGCTTTTAGTGATAACAAATAAGGATGTTGTGGACATTTGTTTATAAGTTTCTGAATGGATATAATGCTTTCATTTCTTTTGGCCAAATACCTAGGAGTTGAATGCCTGAATTGCATTGTAGGTGTGTGTTTACATTTGTACGATTTTAAATTTAGATTTAGATAAATGAGGTTATAAATTTAAGTTTGTAAGAAACTGTTTTATAGTGTTGTTAGACTGTTTCACATTTCCACCAGCTTTAAGAAAGGTCTGGATCCTCCATATCTTAGGAACAATTGGTATGGTCAGTCTCTTTAGTTTTAGCCTTTCAAATAAGTATATAGTGTCATTTTGTTGTGGTTTTAACTTGTTTCTCCACAGTGACTAATGATGTTGAGTATCTTTTACTTGCTGTCTTTTTTGGTGCAGAATCTTTAAAAGTCTTTTGTCTGTTCTATTAGGTTGTTTGTTTTCTTATTGAACTTGTAAGTTATTTTTTATATTCTATATTAAAAGATATCCTTTTTGACTGTTCTCTTGTTTACTGTGATTTTTCCTTTCATTCGTGTAGCAGTGTCTTTGGGAGAAAAGAAGTTTTTAACTTTGACAAAATTGAGTTTATCAATCTATTCTTTATGAATCATAGTTTTAGGTGTTATATCTAAGAATTCTTTGCCTAGCCCAAGGTCACACATCTTTCCTATTTTCTTTTAGAATTTTTAGTTTTATGTTTTACATTTAGGTTGGTGATCCATTTTTTTCGTTCATTTTTGTTTATCAAATATAGGGGAGTATTTTGCATATAGATATCCCAATTGTATCATTTCTTAAAAAGACTATCCTTTCTTCATTCTATTGCCTTTGAAATGATGAAAGTAAGTTTTCCATATATGTATGGATCGATTTCTGATAACCTGTTCCATTTACTGGTGTGTCTTGAGATCAGTATTAAACTTGCTGATTACTATATCTTCATAAATCTTATAATTAAGTAGTGTTAGTCCCTCTGCTATAATCTTTTCAAAGTTGTTTTGACTATTCTAGGTCCTTGGCATTTCCCTATAAATTTTAGGATTAGCTTGTCAGTTTCATTATAGACAACAAAAAAGTCTGCTGGAATTTTTATTGGAATTACACTGAATCTATAAATCAATTCAGCAATAATTATTAACATCTTAACAGTATCAAGTTTTACATTTTCATGAATGTGATCTATCTCTCCATTTATTTATATCTTTAACTTTTCTCAGCAGTGTTTTGTAGTTTATAGTGTACATCTTTTGTGGGATGTATCCCTCAATATGTCGTATTTTTGATACTCCTTTAAATTGTATTTTTAAAATTTGAATTCCTGAGTTTTCTCTGATACTTACATATTGGTTGTATATGCATCAGCCTTGCTAAACTCAATTATTTTCCAGTAGCTGGTTTGTAGATTACATATGACTTTCCACACATGATTAAATAATCTGTGATTAAAGACATTTTTGTTTCTTAATTTTTTTTCCCACATGCCTTTATTCATTTTCTTGCTTTACTGCACTGCCTGGAATCTCTAGTCCAGTGTTGAGTAGCAGTGGTGAAGGCATAACTTTTTGTTGTTCCTGATCATACGTGGTGAGCATAATTCTCTCACCATTGGATATGGTGTTAGCTGTGGGTTTTTTACAGATGATCTTTATTAGGTTAAGTTCTTTTTTCCTAGTTTGCTGTGAGTTTTTATGAGGGATGAATATGGTTTTTAGGCTTTTAGTAAATGCTTTTTTTTTCTTTTAAACCATGATCCATATGGATTTTTTCCTTTTTATTTTGTTAGCATAGTGAATTATATTGATGGAATCTTAAAATATTAAACCAGTCTTGTATTCCTTGGATTGATCATTGCTGTGGTCTGAGTGTTTCTCTCTCCTAGCATTCATATGTTGAAATCCTAACCCCTAAAAGATGGTGACATTAGGAGGAAGAGCCTTTGGAAGGTGCTTAGGTCATGAAGTTGAAGCCCTCATGAGTGGAATTAGTGCTCTTATAAAGAGACCCCACAGAGATCCCTAACCTCTTACACCATTTGAGGAGACATTGAGAAATCACTGGCTGTGAACCAGGAAGAAGGCGTTCACCTAAATACGACCATACTAATGCCTTGATCTTGGACTGCCAGCCTCTGGAACTGTGAAATAAATTACTGTTGTTTATAAGCTACCCAGTCTATATTTTTTATTATAGTAGCCCAAAAAGGACGAAGACAAACATGATATATTATCTTTTTTACATATTGATGGATTCTGTTTGTCAAATAGTGTTTAGTATTTTGCATCTATGATTGTAAGGTTTTCTAGTGTGTAATTTTCACTTCTTGTACTCTTTTTCTGCTGTTTGGTATCAGAGTAACTACTAGCATAGAGTAATTCACTCCTCAGTTTTCTGAAAGAGTTTGTTTAGAATTGGCACTACTTCTTCATTAAATATTTGGAACAATTCACCAGTGAAACTGCCTGTGCTTGGAATTTTCTTTGTAGGAAGGTTTTCCCATTGTTTACTAGATATACTGTTGCCACACTGATTTAGATCCATCTCATGCATGTATCGTTGTTGATAAGACTGAATGTTGTAGTGATCCATACCTAAATCCCAAAGTAGGAAATCTCTGGCTGTTTTTGTGCCAGCATTCCACCCTCACTTTGCAGTTCTGGCTATTGTTCTAATAGCCAGAAATATTTTGGAGTTCTTTTTGGAATTTTTGTAGCCCACATTTGCATCACAATAACTGAGACCTGCCCTTGAAGCAAGGGCAGGAGAGTGAGTTTAGCAAGAAATTCAGCTGAGTCTGGGTTGCTTTGTAAAGTCTGACTCCTTTCCAAAACCCTCCTGTTTTTATTTACAGTCCTTATGTAGTTAATTTTTCTACCTTGTGTAGTGTTTGTGGTTGAAATCAGTCAGAGAGGAGGATGGGCTGTGGGAACTTTGTGTCACCGTACTGGAACTAGAACATCTTCAATTAGGAAGTTATTTAATGATGAGAAATAATTTTTTTCTCTTATATCACTGCTGACTCATTGCTTTTTATTGCATGGTTTAAATCTGTCACAGTCATTTTTTGCTACTATTTTTGTAGTTTTGGCCAATCATAGCTCTCTAAGTCTTTGAATTCTTCCTCTCTTTTTGACATAGGATTTCTAGGCTTATACCTGTTCACTTCTTAGATTTTCCCTCTGTCAAACTGTGCTATAACCATATTTAAATCTAAATATTGAGCAGTTATAATGTAGGTATTGAAATATGCTTATGATAACTTTTTTTTCTTGGCAGCTTTTTTCTGTTTCTTCTGTAGCATCTGGTTGGTTTACGCTTTCTTTTCTGTGGTCAGCTTTGATAAAATTTTCTTAGAAAGTTATCCATATTTTCAAAAGATTCATATAGTACCCTTATAATTTAAATTACTCTGTGGTTCTTGTTGTCCTCTTTTCTTATTTTTGTTTTTAACTATCTTTTCAATTGGTTTATCTAGTATTTCCTATAATGATTTTTAAAGCACCAGCTCTTTGTTAATGCTACTGTTTTCTAACTCATTAGGTTCTGCTTTTATCTTTTTCCTGCTTTCTTCCACTTTGTTGTTTATTTTCTATATACTAGGCTTTGCTTCTCAACTCACTTTTTTTAAATAGAGATGATTATTGTAAGTTTTGAGTTCTCTGAGTGGTGAAATTGAATGCCCAGGATTCTGATAGGTGCTTATTTTCAGTGTAGTCATTTACTAGAATTCTTTCATTTCGGTTTTTTTCTTCCTGTAGCGATCCAGCATTTTTGGAGAGGGCATTTCCATTTCCACATGAGAGGGCTCTTCGTTTTCTAATATTTAGTCTTACTTTCTATTGTTACTCAATTTTTGAGAGTGTTGTTGATATTATTTAAACTTTTTGTACACATACCATACTCTAGTTATAAGAAGATATTTTTTGCCCTCAAGTCATAGCCCCCTTACTAAACACTTTCAATTTTGCTTAAGATACTTCATACAGACTTTTCTCTTTCAGCTCACAAGTGCCAGTTCTTTTTCATATAATTCTTGGCACTCTACTTTTGGATTCTTATATAATTCAAGTCCCCTTTTTTTGCCTAAAGTCCCTAAATGTTCAAACTGTCATACAACTGGTGGGTATACCTGGTGTACGTCAGAGAATTGAATGACATACTTTTCTGGACATGATCAGAATGGTTGGCCTTGGTTAAAAAGAAAAGCTGGAGAGGAAAAGGGAAAGCTGAGAAGAGATATGAAGGAATAAAACAGATTGAATGCGGGTAAGGATCATTAAATAATAAAGTGTTAGAGGAGGAATAACTAAGTAAAGACCCTCAATATCTTAATTGTTATGAAGAACAGAGAAAAGCACACGTGGCTTTGCATAGGAGGGAATGAGTCGCAGTGGTGGAAATGTGCATTTTTAGGGGAATTGTAATTGAAGAATGATCAAGTGTAAATAATTGCCTTTTAAAATTTTGTATTGTATATATTTATATTTTAGATGGAAGTGGTATATTAGAGCTGGCTGGTACTGGCTCCCTAGAGATAAGATTTTACATTTTATCCTAAGTCTAGGCTAAATTATGTTACTTTGATAACTTGAAATTGCCTGGATAGATATTGGCATACACAAATCAGGGCTGGATATGTTCTGTGTGTGTCTTTGTAGAACTGGTTGTTAAACATTTACCAACACTCTGCTGCATAAACTTACTTTTTCTGAACCCTCCTTTTACATTTTCAAGTTTTATAACTGTATTTTGAAGTTCTTTAAACTGTCTGTAATTGGTGAGATTTTTAATTTTCTCTTAATTCTGTTATAAAATGTTTTGTAGTGAAGGAAACTTTTTTCTTATTTGTTTTAGATTTGAAACCAAGATATGAAATAATCAGCTATGGAAAAATGTACATTTATACGAAACGTTCATCTCTTACTCTGCGTCACAGAATTGATAATGGAGAGAAACCGTATGAGTGTAAGGAATGTGGGAAGGCCTTTAGTCGTCATACAGATCTTAGAGTACATCAAGTAATTCATACTGGTGAGAAACCGTATGACTGTAGGGAATGTGGCAAGGCCTTTAGTCGTCTTACAGACCTTAAAGTACATAAGAGAATTCATACTGGTGAGAAACCCTATGAATGTGAAGAATGTGGGAAGGCCTTTAGTCGTACCTCAAATCTTGCTCAACATGGAAGAGTTCATACTGGTGAGAAATCCTATGGATGTAAGGAATGTGGGAAGGCTTTTAGTGATGTTGGAACACTTAGAATACATCAGAGAATTCATACTGGTGAGAAACCCTATGAATGTAAGGAGTGTGGGAAGGCCTTCAGTCAAGCCTCAAACCTTATACAACATGACAGGATTCATACTGGTGAAAAACCCTATGAGTGTAAAGATTGTGGGAAGGCCTTTAGTCATGCTTCACATCTTGTTAGGCATGAGAGGATTCATACTGGTGAGAAACCCTATGAATGTAAAGAGTGTGGGAAGGCTTTTAGGAGTAGCCATCAACTTACTATCCACCATAGATTTCATACTGGTGAGAAACCCTATGAATGTAAGGAATGTGGGAAATCCTTTAGTGTATATGGACGACTTACTCGCCATCAGAGTATTCACAGTGGTAAGAAACCATTTGAATGTAACAAATGCGGGAAGTCCTTTAGGCTCAGTTCAAGCCTTAAAGTACATCAGAGTATTCATACTGGTGAAAAACCCTTTGAATGCTGCAAATGCGGGAAATCCTTTAGACTTAGTTCAATGCTTAAGGTACATCACAGAATTCATACTGGAGAGAGATTATATGGGGTATATGTATAGTAGACAATGGAATTATAACACTTAAGAAAAAATTTAAATGAAGAGAATATGAGAAGTTTTTACATGGTTTAGTTCTTTTAAGGCATCACATAATTTACACTGGCAAGAACTCCTTGGAATCTAAAGTGTTTGAAGTTTTTCAGTTATGACTCAAGTACTGTTCACCTTCAGAGAATTTGTATTGTACTTTATATTAGAAAGTCTTTTATGGCATTCCTCTTTGTTTTACCATTCACTGGGTGGCCAGGCTCTGTGGCCAAGGTTATAAGGCAGATAAGTGCCACTTAAGGAAAAGACTAGTGCATGATTTGAAGTCATTGAGAGCAGAAAAAAATACATACCAGGATTAAGTAGCACAGTGATTACTTACAGCAAGAGAGGAGACAGAATGCACAAGATGTATGACTTGCAGTGTGTTAGCGACCCATGGCCAGCAGATCACCTCCACATCTGACAAGCATGACTTAGCTGCACACAGCCCACTTTGTTCTGCAGTGGCAGGACACCAACTCCTTCCCCATAGGGTCTGACATCCCAAAAACTGGAGGCTTGCCTGTGTGCCACTAACATCTATGATTAAACACAGCAAAGGAGTACACATTGAGTCTGACACAGAGATAGCTATTCATATACAAGGCAGTAAGCCCAGCGGAGGTTGTGAGGGATCTTTATTTTTTGGTAAAGAAGTATTGCAGGCCCAACAGGTCCCATTCTTTTTTCCCCACCAGCTTTACTGAAGTATAATTGACCAGTAACACCATAAATTTAAGGCGTATAAGTGGTGCTTAAGGGGAAATTTATAGCTATAAATGTTTATATTAAAAAACGAAAAGTTTCAAACTTTAACAGCCTAATTTTACAGTTTAAGGAACTAGAAAAATAATAAACAACACAAAGTAGCAGAAGGAAGGAAACAGTAAAGGTTAGAGCAGTGATATATGAAATGAGAGAATAGAGTAGCAACAGAGAAAATCATGAAACCAAAAGTTGGGTCTTCAAAAAGGTCAACAGAATTGGCAAACCTTTAGCTAGATGAAGTAAGAAGAAAGGGAGGAGAGTCAAATTACTAAAATCATAAGTGAAAGTGGGAGGACATTACGATTGATTTTATAGACATGGGCAATGGACTTGATGAGACATTTTTCCAAAGAAGATAATATGAATGAGGAATAAGCATATGAAAACATGCTTAACATCACCAATCATTAAGGAAATGCAAATCCAAACTACAGTGAAATACCACCTCACATCTATTAAGATGGCTACTATTAAAAAAGAAAGTATAGGAAAGGATGTAGAGAAATTGGAACCCTTCTGCACTATTGGTGGGAATGTAAAATGGTACGACCATTGTAGAAAACAGTATGTAGATACCTCAAAAGACTAAATACAGAATTACATATGATCCAGCAATTCCACTTCTGGGTATGTACCTAAAATAATTGAGGTCAAGGTCTCTAAGAGCTAGTTCTACACTCATATTCATAGCAAATGTTGTAAATTCATAGAATAGAATGCTATTCAGCCTTTAAAAAGAAGGAAATTCAGCAATATGCAGCACATAAATGAACCTTGAAGACATTTTGGTAAATGGAATAAACGGTCGCAAAAGGCAAATATTCTACTTATGCGAGATACATAGAGTAGTCCGAAATCATGGAACTTGTCAAGTGGTTGCCAGTGGCTGGGGGAGGGAAGAATAGGGAGTTATTGTTTAATAGGTATAGCGTTTTAGTGTTACAGAATGAAGAGTTATGGGGTTGAATGGTGGTGATGACTACACACAGTATCTGTGTATTGAATACTACTGAAGGATATACTTAAAAATGGTTCAGATGGTAAATTTTATATTATGTGTATTTTAGAACAATCCATGGACTGAATAGCTTAAGTTAGTTTTCTCACAGTTCTGGAGACTGGAAAGTCAAGATATCAGGTATGGTTTCTTGAGGTCTCTCTTTGACTTGCAGCTGGCTGCCTTCTCACTGTGTGTGTACATGGCCTTTTCTCTCTGTGTGTGCATTCCTCTGGTCTCTGTAAGTCCTAGTCTTGTTATAGGGACATTAGTAAGACTGGATTAGGGTCCACCTAAATGGCCTCATTTTAACTTAGTTACCTCTTTAAAGCCCTGTCTCCAAATACAATCACATTCTAAGGAACTAGGGGTTAGGATTTCAATACATGAATTTTGGGGAAGCACATTTAAGTTCAGGACTGGTCAGTCTGATGAAGCATAGCCCTGTATTAATGTTAAGTTACGTGGTTTACTGATGTGAAGAACATTACATGTGCCCAAATTGATTATTATAAAAGAATCTTAATGGTGCTATTGCTGTTACTATACTAAAATTCATGTTTCTCTTGCCTGCTATTTATAATGCTAACACTCCCCCTCCTCAAAAAAAATTCCGTAGCTAGGTTTGAAAATACATTTATTTCTTCTTATTAAAAATTTTTTTAAATCAGCAAATGAGTTTTTAGGAAAGATGAGGAGAAGATGTTCCCCTAACTTCATTAGCAGGAGAGAAAAACATGATCAAGGAATCTGATCAATGTCAAATTGAGAACATTAACAAGAGGCCAAATACCCTTATGTTGTACAATAAGATATGTGTAAATATAATTATTACTTATTCTCTATTCTTTCATTATATACTATTCCTGTAAATTTTTTTTGGAGGATACTGAAAAACCTGAGACTGTTGTAAAGTTTTGTAAAACCAACAATAAATCTCTTTTTGAAATTTTTATTTGAAAGGCTCTGAAACATTTTTGTCTTATTTGATAATTCGGTGCTCTGTTAATTAAATTAATGGTATTTCTACCCTTTAAAATGTATAAATATCTGGAAGGTTTTTCAGACAAGAAATTGATTCTCGCTTCCTTTTTCTAGTCACATACACAGTTACATAATGAAATTCATGGATTCCTTTTGCAAACCCAGAATGATTCCAGATCCTTTGTCTCCTGGTATTTTATTTTTTAACATTTTTTTTAGTTGAGTTATAGTCAGTTTGCAATGTTGTGTCAATTTCCAGTGTAGAGCACAACTTTTCAGTTATACATGAACATACATATATTCATTGTCACATTCTTTTTCACTGTGAGCTACCACAAGATCTTGTATATATTTCCCTGTGCTATACAGTATAATCTTGTTTATCTATTATGCATATGTCTGTCAGTATCTACAAATTTTGAACTCCCGGTCTGTCCCTTCCCACCTCCCTCCCCCTTGGCAACTACAAGTTTGTATTCTATGTCTATGAGTCTGTTTCTGTTTTGTATTTATGTTTTGTTTTGTTTTTTTAGATTCCGCATATGAGCAATCTCATGTGGTATTTTTCTTTCTCTTTCTGGCTTACTTCACTTAGAATGACATTCTCCAGGGACATCTATGTTGCTGCAAATGGCATTATGTTGTCATTTTAATGGCTGAATAGTATTCCATTGTATAAATATGCCACTTCTTCTTTATCCAGTCATCTGTCGATGAACATTTAGGCTGTTTCCATATCTTGGCCATTGTAAATAGTGCTGCTATGAACATTGGGGCACAGGTGTATTTTTGAAGTAGGGTTCCTTCTGGATATATGTCCAGGAGCGGGATTCCTGGGTCATATAGTAAGTCTGTTCCTAGTCTTTTGAGAAATCTGTCTCCTTATATTTTAAATTAACATGATTTTGGGAAATATATACAAGATCTTATGGTATCTCATGGGGAAAAACAATGTGACAATGAATATATATATGTTCATTTATAACTGAAAAATTGTGCTCTACACTGGAATTTGATACAACATTGTAAAATGATTATAAATCAATAAAAATGTTTTAGAAATTAATTAATTAATTAACATGATTTCACTCTGCACAAACAAAACAATTAACATATACTTAAAGGGGAAAAACAGGGAAAATACTAAGAGTGTATCGGGATGGAGGGAATATTTAACTTTATTTTTCATAAGTTCCTTAGGATACTGAATTTTTGCAACACTTACATGATTTGCATTACCAGAAAATACATTTTAAAATATACTAAAGATGTTGTAGAGGAAAAAAAAATGTTACTGAAGAGGTGGTTCATTCCAGCAATTATGAAAATTGAATCTTATGTCTGGCATTAGAAATAAGTACAGTTGAAACAAATTATGACCTACAGTCCTTGATATCCTAAATCTCTACAAAACTATTACTTTCACTGCAAGATTCTATTGAGAATACCTCCCCCCTCCACTGAAGCTTCTTTGTTTTAGAGATCTTGGTTGACTTCAATAAGTGACCATTTGGGCTACTTGTATTTTCTTTTCCTTCATTTTAAATTCCTGCTCTTATGTTTTAAATTCACCAGTAAAGAGTGAGCCTGCCCTTGACTCAGATAAAAGCAGAATCCCAGGCCTGCTCTCTTACTCTCTCTCCTGCGCTCTTCCTACAACCTTGCTGTGGCCCCAGATGTGCTGTATAGTATCTAGGACTTATAAGTAGTAAATTTCTATTTTTTCAAAGTTTCCTGATGCTTGATGCTGAAGGGTATCTTGCAGTCATAAGAACCACAAGGGCTGGTCTCATGACATTGGTTGGTGAAAAGCTGGGACCGGCACGAAACAACATGTAAGTGGCATTTGCACGTTGAATCAGAGAATAAATGAAAAGTAGAACAGTGTTACGTACACAATAGATGTTCAATAAATGTAGTCACACTTATCCCCTTCTTCAGTAAATATAATACACAGTAAATATGTATTATTTTGCACATAATCCTACTACAGCGTCATGCAAAACTCCAGTATTAAATGGGATTCAATACAACTTTTATGCAGTGAAGCCCACCCCATGCATAATACAAAAGAGAGGGGTGAAAATTTTTGCTGTGACAAAGGTTTCTGGTAGGCATAATATTGTGCAATGTGAAAAATATTTTTTTCCTGTAAATTTCAGGCTCAAAATTCAGTGACCTTAACAAGGACCCAAACTCACTCTCTCCTTTTCTACAGTGAGAAAACATACAGTACAGTCTCACTTTATCCAGCTTATCTCAACCTGGAAACACGGCTTTGCCACTAAACAGTATAACTTTGTATGTCTTTTGATCTCAGAAGCTTTAACTCTAAAATGGAAATATATATGGTAAACACCTGTGATGTTTCAGGTGTCAGCGGCATTTTAGGAAAGAGATAACATACACACCAACATGCATAGACACACAAATACACACACAAACGTAAGGTATGGTTAGATTAGGAACCCAAGTTCAAGACCTCACACCAGTCAAGCACTCAATGACCCCGGGGGTCACATCACTGACTCAACAGTGGACTCACACACAGCCTGAGGCCTCGGAAAAGAAGAGCTCCGCAGTCTCCTCAGAAAATAATGCCGTTTGCCGTGACATGGATGGACCTAGAGACCGTCATCCTAAGTGAAGTAAGCCAGAAAGAGAAAGAAAAATACCATGTGACATCTAAAAAAAAAAAGAAAGAAAGAAAAAAAGAGGACACTAATGAAATCACCTACAACACAGGAACAGACTCGCAGACATAGTAAACAATCTTATGGTTACCAGAGGAGAGGAGGTGGGAAGGGATCAATTTGGGAGTTTGAAATTTGCAAATGATAAACACTATATATAAAAATAGGTTAAAAAATGAATTTCTTTGATATAGCACAGGGAACTATATTCAATATCTTGTAATAACCTTTAATAAAAAATATGGAAACAAATATATACACATATATGCATAACCGAGACATTATGCTGTACACCAGAAACTGACACATTGTAACTGACTGTACTTCAAAAAATATATTTTAAAAAATATGGATTATTTCTTTACTTTTCTTAAAATAGCTTTGACTGTATTGTATATTGGTAATGATGTCAGCGGTATTATATATTGGTAGCTATGATGTCAGCTATGATGTAACCTACAAGTCTATGTCCATTTGTTTCAGATGGAGAATCTGATATTCTGTTTACTCATTCACCATCTGATAGTTAACACCATTGTCCCATACAAGTTTACATTTTAGAATTAAATATACAAAAGGAAAAATAATTTGAATCTCAATCTTTCAGGCTTTCAGTCGTTTCCTCTGATTTAATGCAAATTGTATCAACATTTTGTGGTTAATCTATTGTTTGCTTTTGGTTATGGGTAAATAATCTGTATTGTACTTGACTTAGAATGTTTGTATTTATATGTGAGATTGTATTCTAATTTCCTTTTGTATTATGTTTTTAATGTTTAATATTGCATTTACTAGATTTTTAAAGTTTAAAAGCTTAAAAAGTTTAAAAGATAGGATTTGTCTTTGAAAAGTTATGGAGCTTTTTATATCTGTTGATTTATTTTTAACGTTAGATCTTTAATCTCCTTAAAAGAAGCATCTTTTTACATGAGACTCTCAGTAAAAGTCAAGTGTCATGTGTTTTGGGCAATGCTAATTGGGACACCAAAGCCCCTCTGGAAAGATATAAAATGCAGTTTGGCTCCTTAAAAATATTTACATACTTCTCAGCAACCACATTTGGATCGATAGATTCTTTCATGTCTGAGTTTCTATAGAGCTAATATATAGAAATATTAGAAATACTACTTTATAGTCATTAATTAGAAAATCTTGCTAATTTAGGACTATCTAGCATTTCAAAGTATTCATTAATATTTGCCTTTGTTTAAAGCCATTTTCTAACCTTTTAATCTATTAGCATTTCATTAAACATTAATCAACATTTCTCTAAATACTTGCTTTATTTAGACAACTAGTAAACCAAATCTTTAAAGATTAGTGATCAGTTGCAAACGTAAGCTCTTTGAACATCTGAAAATTGGAAATTTAATGTTTCTTTTAAATCACCTAAAATCTGTATAGAGGCAACATTCACAAAAGATTGAAATGTTCATAAAACTTACCAGTAAACTTGGAGTAATTTTTTAAAAACGTATTACTATAGATTCAATTCTTTTTTCTCTATTCTTATGCTTTTTTAAATTTATATTTTAATTTCTTCCCAGTTTTTCTTCTTTGGCCTTTTTTCCTCCTTGGGAGAAGTTTTATAATTTATGGTTTCAATATTCTCACCCTACAGATAAGACGGCAGGATCTGAGTGATCAAGCAGTTGTTTCTTGATCAGATCACTGGGGCTGGTCAGAGTCGATGTGATCCTGAACTCCTTTAAGTCTTTTTTCTTTTTTTAATTTAATAACACATTTAAAGAATTATGGTAAATATAATATAAAATTTACTATTTTGAACTATTTTAAGTATACAGTTCAGTGGTATTAAGTATATTCATATTGCTGTGCAGCCATCACCACCATCCATCTCTAGAACTCTTTTCATCTTCCAAAACTGAAACTCTATACCTATCAAACAGTAGCTCCCCATTCCTCCTCCACTCGACCTGGCAACCACCATTATACTTTCTGTCTCTGATTTTGACTATTCTAAGTACCTTATGTAAATAGAGTCATATGCTATTTGTCTTTTTGTGACTAGTTTATTTGTAGAATCTCTTCTCTCTTTTGGTTAGTATTTGCGTGGAATATATTTTTGCATCCTTTCACCTTCTACATCTAAAGTGAGTCTCTTGTCAACAACATATAGTCCAATGATTTTTATGCATTCTGCCAGCCTCTGTCTTTTAATTACAGAATTTAATCCATTTACTTTTATTACTGGTAAAGAGAGAATTACTTGTATCATTTTACTATTTGTCTTCTATCTGTCTTACAGCTTTCTTTGTCCCCCATTTCCTGTATTACTGTCTTCTTTTGTGTTTAACTGATTTTTTGCAATGAAATGTTTTGATTCCTCTCTCATTTCCTTTCATATATATTCTATAGCTATTTTCTTTGTAGTTACCATGGGGGTTACATTTAACATCCTAACATAACACTCCAATTTGAATTTATACAGCTTAACTTTTGAGTCTTTTTTAATAATAAAAATTAACAAATTAAGTTGTAGGATATTTAAGTCAAAATCTGTCCTCATGAATTAAAGTTTTATCAATGTTATGTTTTTCCATCATTAGAATATATTAAACATTTCAGTTTGCTTTTTTAAAATATGTACTTTGCTTTTTATTAAAACTGTTAGTTCTTTTAAAAATAATTGATAGATATTTCAACTCCTAGGAAATAACTGATTTGATCTGTTGTTAGATTTTCTCTTTAGGGCATTTGGCAATTTTATTTTTGAAATGCCACTGAATCCTCCAACTGTTTGGCTATTGTTTGTGACATACCTGGTGCTGATGTCCTGTTGGACCCCCTTCTGTGTGATTATTCTCAGTGACCATCAGTGTTTATCCATTTTTCCTTTTCTTAGTACAATCTTTATTTCTTTCATGCCTGCTTGGATTTCATATTTGAATTATTTCCCTCCCTATTTACACAGATTAACAAAGTTAGATATAGATACTGAGAAGAAATACTTGTTTGTAAAAACACTCTTATTGGTATCAACAGTACAATGCACACATATCTTATGTCATCCATATTTATATAACTACTTTCGTACATTTTATAGTCACATTTTTCCAACCATTTTGTCTTATTTTAATGATTCCCATCATTTTATGCCTATAATTTAAATGATATTGTCATTGTCATTTTATACTTAAATGGAACAGCTTCACCCATAGCAGTCTCACTACACTGACTCCTTTCTCTTTAGCACTGTCCATGATTTCCTGGAGAGCATAACATTTTTCTGAACATAGAAGGATGTTTAGACCTGTCCTTTTTGTTTGCATTTAATTTTGCCCTGAGATAGGGACTCAGCCTTCCTCCTTAAAGGACAACATTAGAGACCAAAGTTTGAGTGTTGTCTGATAGGATGTGAAATTGAGGAGGGAAGTGGAAGATCACTAGGGTATTCTCAGATACTCAGGAAGTGAACCTGTATGTCCTCAATTCCAAGATCTCAGTACAGTTCAGTAAGTCTTTGAACCAGTAACAGTCTCCAGGAAATCACTGAGTCCCACTGTACTTAGTTGCATTTACTTAAATTTAAACTGTATCTTTGATTTCCGCTTGCATTTAGTCAAATTTACACTATATCTTTCGCTTCCCTAGTGGACAGTCTTATTTGTAACCTATGCAAAATTCATTATAGCCCTTTGTTGAGGTAACAGACCCTATTGTTGTTAATTGGGGCTGTTACTAGTCAGATTGAGAACCACATTTACTGCTGCTAGGTATGGCTGTAGAACAAATTATAGTCAATGGGCTGCCATTGGAATTTTGTAGCAGTTTCTGAGTACCCTTCTTAAGGGCATCTTGCTCAAGTCCTTTACTGTTTTTCTTCTCCAAGCTATTACTGTGTGTGTGTGTGCGCGCGCACGCGTGCGTGTGTATGTATCTGATATATAATATATTTATCACCCCTGAGGACATCACAAATTTGCCGTATTTCTATAGTTCTTCCAGGCTTTTTGCATGACAGGGAAATACACTATGACCTGGTTGGAGCCGCTGGTTACTTTGTGGAACAATCCTAGGTAGGAAGTCTCATGACAGAAAATAAATGTTCCTAATTGTATTAGTCTGCTTGGCTACCATAATAAAACCATAGAATGTGTGGCTTAAAACAACAGGAATTTATTTTCTCACAGTTCTGGAGACTAGAAGTCCATGATCAAGGTGTCAGCCAATTCTGTTTCTGGTAAGAACTCTCTCCTTGGGTTGCAGACAGCCACCTTCTCACTGTGTCCTTCCATGGCAGAGAAAATGAACTCCCTGGTGTCTCTTCTCCCCACCCTTATAGGACTTTATGTTATATTTTTAATTGAAATACAGTTGACATACAATATTATATTAGTTTCAGGTGTAGTACATAGTGATTTGATATTTGCATACATTACGAAATGGTCACCACAATAAGTCTACTAACCTCTTAGGATAAAAGCTATGTTTTCTTTGGCTACTTTCTAGGGTCTTCTAGTGCTCTGGGAGGAAGAGAAATAAACCAGAATATTTGTTACAAATGAGAAATGTCATTTTATTCAGTACACAGTAATAGATTTCTGGAACTGAATGAAAACGGGTCTTTGTCTAGCCCCACCTTAAAGTGGGGAACAGGTAAAGAGGCTTAAAATCTGTGGCCCAGGCATACTTTCCAATAAGATCTCAAGGTGCTAATATTAGGCCATATCAGAGAGTAGGAGTAGGGATGTTGGGCAGCTTCTCGGTACGGTAAGGATTGACTTGTGGTAGGCCTTTCCAGGCACGTTCTAGGAACCCATAGTGGGCAATACCCACAGGTTGGATAGTATGCACCCTGTTCTGCCCAGGCAAGGGTACAACTCCCTGGAACTCAAGGGGACCTGCAGGGGCATGAGAACTACCACAAAACAGGCCATAGAATAACCGTTCACCAAGTACCAGCTCCTCAGTTTTCAGGGCCTTTTTGTAGATGGTCTCTTGAGATTGGAGTTTCTTTCTCTGCAGTAACTCTAGCAGCAGCTTCTGGATTCGGGGGGACTTAAGTTGGTACACGTCCATGAGGCGATAGAACTGTTCCATCTGAGCGGCAGTGTCTCTTGCCTATCGCTGCTGCAACATCCGCAAAACATGGTACAGTGCCACAAACGTCTCCCATCGAGGCACCGCTTCCTTTTCTTTAGAGATGGGCTGTGCCTTTTTGTCCAGTTGGGGCAACTTGAGGGCCCTGCCTTTACCCTTAAAAGCCCTGAGATCCTTCTGAAACATCAGTGCTAGAGTTTGTTTTTCCACAGAATTATGGGCACCTGTGAAAATGTCTCTTGTGGCAGGATAAAAATACTGCATTTCCATCTCTTTGAGAACACTGGATAACTGCTGTGCCCATGCATGCCTGTAAGGTTCTCCTAAAAGATGCCAATTTATAGCCTTTGGGTCTTGAATCCTGTTGGTAGGTGATGGTAACACTGGTGTACGGATAGGTAGGGATTTCTTCTTTGTCTTGTGAAATATGGGGAGCTCACCCCTTCCCCTCAAGGTCCAGAAGTCCAAGGACAGGGATTTTTTATCCACAGAGGGATAGACAGCTGTAGGACCATCCTTTCTGATTGGATAAATGTGCTTTAACTCCTTGACAGCCGTGGATAACTGTTGTACCTGCTTCTTCCTGTAGGACTCAGCTGAGAGATGTCAATTGAGAGCTGGTGGGGACTGAGTCCTCTTAGTAGCTGAGAACACTGGTTCAGGAATAGAGAATGGCTCCAGACAGCTCTCCATTTCTTTTCTTCCAATTGGAGGGATCACTTTTAAGTGTACTGGACTCAAAACATCTTTATAGGGTTGTGATATATCTAGGGGACCTATCTGTGTGTTCTGCTGGAGGTGTTTAGCAATGGCTTTAAGACTGGACAGATGCAGGCATTTCAAATATCCCTTTGAAGAGAAGTGTCTGAGGAGTTGGTCAGTCTATGGAAACTCTCCCTTGAAAGTTGTTCTCCTGCTTCCAGCCTTATTAAGGCATTACTAATCCAGTCCTCATCTGAGAATCTTTCTTCTGAGTGGTATGGCCTTTTAGCTGGCATAGAGGTAAGGGCTGGGGCAGGGGCTGGGGTGGGGGCCGGGGTTGGGGCTGGGGCTGGGGTGGGGTCTGGTCCTCAGTTTTGCCCACCTGGGAATCCTGGTACTTCACGAACCACTTCCACTTGCCACCTTTGGGCCTACGTGCAGGTTTCTGTTGTTTAATGATATCAGGTAAGTGGGGCTTTGGCCTGTGGAGGTCTTCTCGGGGCTGGGTCTCTAAGCCTGTTTCCATGACTTGCAAAAACATGTCCCTGGCTTTCTCCAAGAGTATATCTATCCTCTTGTCTTCTCCATAAACTTTTCATGTAGTGTGCTCCAAGAAGTTAACTTTCCTGTCCTTCCAAATCCAACTGATCCCCTAACACTTTCAGGGGCATTCCCTTTTCTTTTTCCAGGGCTCCTGGGAGTTGTATTTTGAAGGGGCTCCTCATAATTGTTGGCCACGTAGCCTTATCCATAAGTGTGGGAGCTCTCCTTCCATCAAGCAATCTCTCTTTGTCAGGAGCCATTTTCCTTCTAGCTATACCCTCCCTTTCCTCAGCAAGAACCTCACTTTCTATCACTAGCTTTGATAAGTTCACTTCTTCTTTTGAGATCTCTGTTTTCAGTATTCCTTCCTCCTCTGAGAGCATCGCCTCTGTAAGTCTGCTCTCCTGTTCCTTCTTACTCATGCTCTCCTCATCCTTCTGCCTTGTCGCCCTTTGCTCCTTCTCTTTTTCCTCTTTCTTTTCCATTTCTTCCTCTTTCTCCTCCTCCTCACCCAGGCTCTCCCCCTCCTCCTCCTCACTCAGAGTCTCCTCCTTGTCCTGCATGTTCAGGTGCCCCCCTTCCTCCTTGCTGAGGGGCTCCTTCCCTTCTTCATGTAGGCCCTCTTTTTTCTTCTTACTCAGCTTCTCTTCCTCCGGAGTCAGTCTCTTTTCCTTCTTTGAACTCTTTTTCTTATGCTTCATAGCCAAGTTCTCCTCCAATTCCTCTTCACTCAGGCTTACTTTCTTTTTCTTCTTAATCAGGTATTTCCCTTTCTCTTTCTTGGGCAGAATCTCCTCCTCTTGTCCTTCCTCAGTGAGACTCTCCTCCTCTATCCCCTTCTTAGCTGGAACTTCCATTCCCTTCTCAACCAAACTTTCAGGTAAGTCTTCAAACAGTATGTCTTTGATATTCTCTAATCACCACTTTACCTGGCTCTTTTCTGGTTTATTCTCCTCAATTCTCTTCAGAAGCTTCTTCAGCTGCTTTTTTCCTAACAGATTTTGCTGCTGAATCTCCTTCAACATGCTGTCTACCTGGATTTTATCTAATAATATGTTTTCCTGGACCTTCTCTAAGAATCTTTGGCCGTCCTCCAAGCTCTCTTCATCCGTCAGTGTTCTCTCTTTGGCAGCCAGTCTATCATCTTCTAGTTTTCTTTCTTCCTGAAACTGCTCCTTCTCTTCTTTGGTTATTTCCTCCTGTTCCTTAAAAAATTCCCACCTCTGGCCATCAATTCCACTCTTTCCCGTAATGAATGACTGCTCTTCCTCAGATATTCCTATTTCTTTCAATGGCTCTGTATTAGTTTCTCTAGTTATTTTTGTCAGGATCCTCAACAGTTGACTCTCTTTCTTCCTTATATATTTTCCCCTGGAACTAGCCTCTTTTCCTTCAGAACTAATCCCCGTCCCCATATCCAGTTTCCTTGTCGTCTGTATCCTCTCCACTTCGATTCTCTTCTTTTCATCCCTGGCAATACTCGTCCCCTTGCTCCTAATGTCATAGGCCAACTTCCTTTCTTCCTCAGGCAGTTCACCTTCTTCTTCCATAATTTCCTTCTCTTCTTGGGTAATTTTTTCCTTTCTCTTAGTTATGCCAATTCCTTCCCTGGCTATTGCCTTTTCTTTCTCAGCAGTGTGCCTCTCTTCCTTGGCCAGTTTACTGTCTTCCTGAGTTAGTCTTTTCTCCAGTGCCCTTTCTTCTTTTTCCTGGGACTTTTTCTCCATTTCCTCAGCTTGTTCCTTCTCTTCTAGGGGGAATTTCTTTTTTCCCCAGGCCCATTGTGTTTTTCGATCACTCTCTCTCTCTTCTTTCTGACCCCATGTTCTCTCTTTCTGGGCCTGTTTCTCTTGTAGGGCTAGAAGTTCTTTTTCATGGGCCCATTGTTTTTTTCTCAATGGCTTTCTTATCTTTCCCAAACCATTTCTCCTCTTTCTTAGGTTTCTTCTCTTTTTCCATGACCTCTTTCTTTTATTTGGGGATACCTTCTCAATTTTCTCTCTTTTTCTCCTCTTTTGGGACCAGTTTCATTTGTTCTCTGGCCCGTTGCTTTTCGCCCTCAGCTTCTTTTTCCAGTTTTTGAGGCAATTTCTCCTCTTTCTGACCCCATCTCTTTCCTTTCTGGGGCCGTTTCTTTTCTTTCAGTGACTGTCTTTCCATTTCCCCAGCCTGCTCCCTCTCTTCTAGGCCCACTTTCTTTTCCCCCCAGGCCTGTTGTGTCTTTTTCTTGGTTATTTTCTCCTCTTTCTGAGCCCTTCTCTCCTTTCTTCAAGATTTGCTCGCCTTTTTCTGGGTCTGTTTACCTTCTTGTTGTGACAATTTCTCCATTTCTCCAAACTTTTCTTCCTCTTCTGGACCCAGTTTCTTTCTTTTCTAGGCTAATTGTTTGTCTTTAGCCTCTTTTCCTTCTTTCTTAGCCTCCCTCTCCTTCTGGTTATCTTTCTCTTGTTTCTTGACTTGTTTTTTTCTTTCTTGGATTTGTTTCTTTTCACAGGCTGCTTTTTTCTCCTTTACTAATGATTTCCTCTTTTCTTGGGTCAGTTTACTCTCTTGCTCTGCCAAGCTGCCTTTTTCTAATGTCTGTTTTCCCTCTTCCCCAAACAGCCCTTCCTCTCGTTTAGATAAATGTTCTTCTTCCTGAGCCAATTTCCCCCTTTTCCAGGACTCTTCCTCAACATGTTTCTCCATACCCCAGATGTGTTTCTTCTTTTTGTGGTAATTTTTCATCTTTTTTTAAATTTGTTTCTCTAGTTTCAGGATTAGTTCCTCCTTGTTCCAAGGCAGATCCAACTCTTCCTCACTCAGCTCTTTTTCTTCCTCATCCAGCTCCTCCCCTTCTTCACTCAGCAGCTCCTCTTCCTCACTCAGCAGCTCCTCTTTCTCACTCAGCTCCTCCGCTTCCTCGCCCAGCTCCTCCTTTTCCTCGCTCAGCTCCTCCTCTTCATGGGACAACTTCTCTTCCAAGAACCCCTCTTCCTGGGCCCACGTGCCTTCTTTGTGGGCCAGCATAGCCTTCTCCCAGCCCAACCTCCTCATTTCTGGGGTTGCCTTCCCCTCTTTCCAGTTCACCCTCTTTCTTTTCCCCGGGAGTTTCTCCTTTTTTCCAGTCCTCCTCTTTTCTCCTAGGACTAACTTCTGCTCTTCCTTGGTTAATTTCTTTTGTGAGAAAGACAGTATTTCTTCTTCCCAACCTATTTTTTCTCTTTGATAGGTCAGTTTCTTATCCTTAGCCAGTTTCTCCTTTCCCTGCATGAATTTCTTCTCTTGTTTATCCAGTTTCCTTTTCCCCTCAGTTATTTTCCCTTTTTGCATGGCTAGTTTCTTTACTTTTTAAAATTTCCTTTTCTCTAATACTTGGTAATTTTCTAATAGAGTAACTTTCTTCTTCTTGGCTTGAGAAAATGCCTTGCCTTTCTTTAATACTTTTTCACCCCGTTTTCTCTCAATCCTACTGTTTCTTCTTCTTTGACAACCTCCTTATCCACTTTTTCTGTTATAACAGGTGTTTCTTCCATCAATCTGTCACCCAGTTCTGCTGAGTCCTTTAATAGAGGACAGATCTCTTGGAAAAGATCCCAGCTGGGCTCTTCAGGAGCAAGCATTGCCTGAGCCAAGTCCACCAATTCTTGACCCAGATGCCTTAACATTCCTGGATTGGAACTTGCTATTCTTGAGGTGACAAGATTGCAAATGTCATCCTGCCATGATCTGATGTCTGATCTAGTTGTGCATCCAGAAATCCCAGACAAACCACGACCACTCTTTACACGTTTCTTCGTTGCATCTTCCTCTTGCTTGGTAACCTGTATGACTTCTTTCATGGGCTCTTCTGCAGATTTCTCTGGAATATCCTTCATTTTTTTAATCTCTTTCAACTTTGCATCTGCTTTTTCATGGCTTTTTTTCAATGCTTTTTCCCAATGCCTTTTCAAATGTTCTTGTCTTTCCAGCTTAGGGATCACTTCTCCATAATCTTTCATGCTATGTTGATCTATGGTCTTCATAAATCCTGTGGCCTCTGCTGCCTCTGTGACCTCCAAGACTTCTGAGGCTTCCCTGGCTTTTCTGGCCTCCAACATGACCTCCTTTGATTCAGCATCCTCTTGGGATATGACTGGTGGCAGCTCTGGTTCTAAGGCAACATCCTGGATGTCAATTTGCCCTGATTTCCTGGCTTCTCTTTCTTCACCTTCATCCTCTGAAGTCACTAGCACAGGGCTAAACTGTAACAATTCTGTCTCTCTCCGCTTCCTGGAAACACTCAGGTCCCTTTTAACTGCACAGATATTGGGAAAAAAGTAATTAAGAAAAACACAGAGGTTACAATAGCCAAGACATGGAAGCAACCTAAATGTCCATTGACAGATGAATGGATAAAGAAGATATGGTGTATATATACACAATAGAATACTACTCAGCCATAAAAAAAGAATGAAATAATTCTTCAGCAGCAACATGGATGGACCTAGAGATGATCATACTAAGAGAATTAAGTCAGCAGAGGAAGACAAACATCAGTGATATCACTTATTTGTAGAATCTAAAAAATGATACAAATGAATATATTTACAAAACAGAAACAGACTCACAGACATAAAAAACAAACTTACCATTACCAAAGCGGAAATAGAGGGGGAGGGATGAATTAGGAGTTTGGGATTACCAGACACAAAGTACTACACATAAAATAGATAAACAACAAGGTTCTACTGTATAGCACAGGGAGCTATATTCAAGATCTTGTAATAACCAAGAATGAAAAATAATACGAAAAAGAATATATATACCTATAACTGAATCACTTTGCTGTACACCAGAAACTAATGCAACATTGTAAGCCAAATATACTTGAAATAAAAAAAATAAAAAATAAAACAAACACTCCCCCCACCCCAAAACCCACAGAGGTCCTGAGTGAGATCCTTTGTAATATCTAGTTCAATGAACTACCGTAAGAGATACAAAAGGGGGCTGAAGCTTTATGTACAGAAATTCCTGCTGCTTTATCGCAATTTCCATAACCTAAGAAATAAGACTTGGTATCTGTTGTGGGGTAGGTCTTTCCCAGGAAGATTACTTTCTGCGAAAAGGATTTTCCTTACTTAACTCTGTTACCACTGATATCTTTTTATATACCTTGGCCTTATTCACCCTGCCTTCTGGTGCTCTAAGGTAGGGCCCAAATATGCCCCATATATCACCCCATACATACTAAAATTTCTGCTCTTTGCTTCAAGATGTGTCTTTCCTCCCTCCGGTTTGGTGATCCTTATAGGTGCTGACAAAGGTTTGAGTGTCTTTTCAGCAGGGGCCGCAGGTTCACCAGCCCTTGCAATATCTAGAGAAAAGGGAAATTGCTTGTCTCTGTGTGACAAGGTCACTTTCTCATTTAGCCGCTGCTCCACCTGAGTAAGGAGGTACTGGATATCATTAGCTTGAATTCCCAGCAGCCGGTCCGGAGAGGCTTCTCCAATAAAGTCCTGCCTACAAAAGTCAAGGGAAAAGAAGGATAATACTGAGCCAGCAATAAAACAAAATTAGAAGAGGAGGAGGAGGGGAAAGTACAGGACGAGGAGGTTCAAAAACAATGGAAGAAGCAGGGATAAGGTAGCCAACTAGGACAGAGTACTTAGAAGTAAAGGATGGATAAAGAATAAATAATCTAAAATAGCACGGAATAGAGTAGTCAGGGTGACCCATGATGCTTCTTCATTTAGGAGATTTGGGGACTTGAGTCTTGAGGAATCTTAAGGAAGTGAGAAAATGATGGAAGGGCAGGCTAGTCAACGGACAGAAGAGGGATAGGCACTTGGGTGAAAAACAAATAGAATACAAAGAACATAGGCAGATGAAAAGAACAGAAAAGGGGTGGTGGAGGAGAAGCAGCAGTCAGATTTTGGAGGTTAGGAGCTAGAAGGAACAGAAGCGAAGAAGGCTGCCACCCAACTTGCTGCATTTCCTGGAAAGTTTCTTGTCTCTTCAGCAGGCCTACCAGCATACTCTTAGTTTGGATGCCTGTGACTCTCATCATAAGGTATAAGGCCTTAGCCCGCACATTTTCATCACTGTCCATCAATCCCATAGCCAGTGGAACAGCAAAGAGATGGCTCATGAGGCCCAGCCTCTCTAGCCCCTCCCAGGCTATCTCACGGACCTGTGGATTGGAATGAGTTGTATCTTCTAGGAGGCGACTGGCAGCCTCAGAGTGCAACCTTGAAGATACTTCATAGAAGGCAAAAATTTTTGCCAGAACACTAATATATGTCTTGTATTGCTCTATAGAACAGCAAACTGTGAGGTTGAGGATGGCCTCGATTAAAATATTAATAAGTCCTTCATCAAATTTTCTTCCCGTACAATTTTGGTTGATCATGTTCATGAGACCATCAAAGAAAGTTTGTTTCTGCTGCTTGGATTTATAACCCTGTTTACTCTCTGAGATTTTCTCTTTTACTGGAGTCATAGGTGACTGTGCCTGGCGTCTGCTGAGTTCAGTCATGTCCCAGTCCTTATCTTGGTAGGATGGGGGCAGATCATAGCGTAGGAAGATTGGGGTGCCCTCAGGCCAAAGGCGGGCACGGATCACTGAGTTGGGGATGTAGCCATCAGGAGGAAAGGGCCATTGCCGCCCTCGACCAAAGAAGCGCCGTAAAATATGGTAGGGTTTCAATCCATTCCAGCCAGCCAGCCGCAATCAAGCAGGAACCCTGTGTAGAGGACGATCATGCTTGGGATTAAGAGTAGAAAAATTAATATCCTTATCCTCCAAAAAATGCAATTTTGATCCCTCTTGAATCACAGAGGACTTATGTCGCTCTTCCTCTACAACATGGGGCACAGTGTTGTCAAAGGCAATGGCCTGTTTGTTGACAAGGGCTTCTAGCCCCTGTAATTCCTGCAGCCCTTGACCACAGTAGACAAATCTGGGTACAAATACGCTTTCAGATGAAAAGAAGAAGCTAGGCAAGAAGGGTTTAGGGCCTTCTAGTATTTCATCTGCATTGTTTACAATAGCTAGGTGAATCAGCTGAGCTGGAGGGAGCAATTTTAAGCAGGATACCAGGTAAAGACTCAGGTTGAAAGTCAAAAGCAGGTCACCCCGATTATTGGCAAAGCAGACTAGGCCAAAATGTAATGCTGAGTCCAACTCAGTTATGAGTTTACCATGGAAGTCCCAGAACCGGACTGAACCATCAATGTCCCCTGTGACAAAAAGTTTCAGGGAAAGGCAGACATCAAATGAAGTGATGGCACACTGGTGCAGACATTTTGTCTCGTTAGACAGAGCTTTGCTCTGATTCTGAAGATGTCAGAAAATTTTCGTAGTGCCAGAGACGCCAACAGTGGTTCTCAGTGATGGCACCCACAGAACCTGGTAAGAGTATCACGTGTTTTAGGAAGCAACTACAGAGAATTTTGGCAATTACAGAGAATTTTGCTGACGGTCTGCAGGATTACCTTGTTCTCCTGAAGCACAGCTTCTGTCATGTGTACAATATTATCCATGCCGTAGGAACACAGCAATGAGTACTTCTGGGGACCTTCCAGGGTAGACAATGCCAGTACTGCCCCAGAGTGAATAGTCTTCTCTGTTCGGGCACAGCTATAGTGGGAGAGGATTCTCACAATGCCACTCTCATGCTCACAGAACATCAACCCTACCGGGCTCTTACCCAAATGGGACTTCCCATAAGCCAGGCACCTTACTCTATCCCCAGGGTTTACTGAAGTGCACACAAGATACATGGCTGTGCAAGGGGAGCGTGTTGCATCAAACACCAGCACCTCTGAACTGTCTGTTGTCACAAAGAGCTCCTCTCTGTCTGAATCATAGGCCCAAGCCACAGCCTTATCCATGATAAGCAGAGGCCAGGTGATAACCAGGAGATCTCCTGTTACTGGTGACAAGAAGCGCAACAAACCATCCTTAGTGACACACAGGATCCGAATCCAATTATGGCCACAGCAGACCCGCTGCACCTTCAGGGGAGCAGAACCACAGATATTGAAGAGGCTATAAAAGTAGGGCAGGTGGTACAATGAGAAAGTGTAGGTAGTCTGGCAGAAAAAAGAGGTGTTATCAATGAACTGCAGTTTCTGCAGATCCTCATCAATATCCAGCTGCCGCAGCAAGTTCCCAAAGGCAAGGTTCCATTCTTTCACTACACCTTCACTGCCTGCTGTTAGTAAGGTGTGGGTCTCTGGCCGGCTTTGGATACATATCACTGATGAGGAGTGGGCCTGGAAGCTGTGGAGGAAGTTACCTTGGTCTAGACCCCAAGCATAGATTTCTCCATCCCTGTTTCCAGCATAGAAATATCCCTGAGAGACACAAGTGAAGGAGCAGGTGATGGAGGAACCACTGGTGATGGGAGTAAATTTCTTTACCTCTTCTAGCTGGCCCTGACCCTGGTGGGTAAAGAATATCACCTTATTCTCACAAAGAGCCAGGAGGGAGCCTTGGGGGCCATGCAGGGAAAAGCCCTGCATAAGCTTACCTCCAGCCATTGGCATAGTTTGTGCCATTTGGAGGCCCCTGCCATTTGGCAAGATAAACCAGGTAACCACAGCCCCCAAGGTGCCAGACAGCAGCATCTCAGCTTCTGAGTCGTAGCAGAGGCAGCTGATGGAGAAACGACAGAGTACTCTACTGAGAGATGTGAATTCTCGACGGTGATCTCCAAAGAGCCACAGGTGCATGTCACCACAGTAAGCAATTAATATATGGTAGGAACCTGTGTGGACCATTGCTTGGATGGGTGGCACATGATCCAACAGATGAAACTTTATCTTCTCTATCATTCCTTTCATTTCTGTATCTTTTTTCTGTATCCAAAGTACTGCCTAGAAGAGGATGAGAGATGAAAGCCTGACCATGGAGGCAGGTTACCTCTCAAAAGTGAGGGATAGAAGAGGGTTGAATGTTCCCTGTTCCCTCTTGTGGGTCTAAGAAAAGACTGGACAGCTTGACTTTGGGAGTTTCCTGGTGCTAGGAATCAGGTATGTGATAGAAGGACCATGCTTAAGGCTCTTTCCTTGGCCTTTAGCCTATTTTACAGGGGATATGAATTCTGTGACCCTGATGACCAGAGGGGAAGAAGCATCACTGCATCCAGGTTAGACTGGCATATGGAAATGGGAATTACAGTGAGCTAACTTAGAATCACCCTCATCATTCTGAAATGAGGGCAGTAAGGTATGATGCATATACAGTGGATTCAGAACAAGGCGGGAGAAAAAGATGAGGTAGATTTACCTCCATTTGTTTTAAAGACAGTTCTGCCCAGTTTAAGGAGACAAAATAGTTGACCTCGTTGGAGTAGAAGCAGATGAAAGGCTTGCTCTGGGGCTGGTAAGGTTCTTGGTATAGAGTCTCAGGCCAGTCTCTCAGTACAACCACATCATCCTTTGGTTTTCCATCAGCCTGAGAGAGAAGAGTGGGCTGAGCTAAGAGGACTGAGTCCTCACTCACTCATTCATTTAATAAAGGTTTATTGAGGGATTAGTGGAAATTCATTGTTATTTAGCTAATCAACATTTGTTCACCCTGCCACTAGAAAGCACTGTTGGGGGGGGCGGTTATCCCTCCTTCACCCTCAGAATGCGTCCTAATTCATCAAAGTACCTTCCAGCCTTTCTGAACCAAAGTTCCTTAAGACAAGTAAAACCTAATATCCCAAAGTATCCATTCTACATAATAAATTAATTCTTCTCTATTTATCTGGAATACTACTAGTTATGGACCATCCTTAAGGGAACTGAGAAAATAGTCCCTCAAACCATTTTCTGTGTTCTATGGGTCAGATGAGGAACCACATTTGAGAAAGCCTGTTATGTTCTGTGACAAACACTGGCAATACAATAATGAGCAAAAGAGATACAATCTTAGCTTTCAAAAGATACGAGTCCAGTGGAAAATACATTAAACAGACAACTAACAAGTGACTATACAAAACAGGCAAAGCCTTCAAAAGAACAAGATACAATTCTATGTGAATGTGACAAAGGAACCCCACCTTGACAAATATGTCTACCTGTCATGGTTGGAACAACTCTTCAGAGTTCTTGCCTACACCAGAAGGCCCACTCCTGTCACCATCATAGTCATGGTATACAGCCTATGGGAAACTCATATTTCACAGACATGGAAAGCCCACCATGTGTGACAATTAGACCCAGTGTCATGCACCTCCCTCACTATTCTTCACGTGCATCCAAGGAAACATGTGCTTTTCACAACATGGAGTTAGCTGAATTCTAACCCAGTGGAGTGTGTGTGTGTGTGTGCGTGCGCACATCTATCAAGGGAAATATGTTACCTTTTAACAAGTTACACAGTAGGATGTGTACAATATACACTACCTTCCAGGCACTGTAGCATGTACCTAGGATGTAGGTACATGAACTCCTCATTCTGACCAGCCAAAACTGAGGCTCATGAAGTCTACTTTTAAAGTAACCTCTTCTCAGAAGATACTTGTGCTATGTACTTGCCTCTTCAACAATGCTCCATGAATCTAATTCTCCGAGTTTCTCTACCTTAGAATTTGAAGTATGACCACCTAAGCTGGAAAGTATAATACTCAATTGAACTAAAGTGTTAATACTTTTTTACTCACAATGCCCATCATGCCTGCTTCCTTCACAAAGGATTTGAGACTATACCGAGGCCATTATCCACAACTTAGAATCTCTCTTCTCCCTCTGTTTCTCATTTTCAGGTCTTTGAGTATTTTGAGAGAATACAGAGAGATGGAGAGCTTCTAGCACTCACTGTCATTGCTAATTCAGTGACAACATCAGAGTTGAGAGGATCTTGGTATCTGAGCTGCTAATTGCCTCTTCATTGAACCAGAAAGCTCATTTACATACCCCTTATTTCACCACTGATTGAATAGTTAATCACCATTCCTCTCCTCCTTTCCAGACTTCATGTACAAATAATTCATTCACTCATTCAGCAATATCAATGCGTGTCTACAGAGGACTCCAAGCAATGCATCTGTGCCTGGCACTACTGTTACATACTCTATATCAATCCCCGTTCTATCCTCTCTCCCCTCCTTCCATCCCAATAAAACTCAGATCTTATTTAGGGTGATGGATGGACTCAGAAATTCTGGCTATACCATAGAGTGACTGGCACAGTTCTGTGCTCTCTGATCTTCACTCTTCTACCTACTTTCAACTTAAAGATGACACCTGGAAGTGTAGCAACTATCTTGCAAACTTATGATAATAAGTTAAATATTAAGCAGGTGGAAAGAGAGAAACGGAACATGGTTCCTTGACATCATGTAAGACAAAAATGCCTCTTGCTTGTTTAATCCATTTAAGACCATTTTCTGTTTTTCTGGGTTTTTTGTTTGTTTGTTTGTTTGTTTTGCAGAGTATGTTCTAATTATAACTAATGTTTTCTTAGTCTAGAAGTGGGAGTTGTTCAGGGGTATGGGAGGGCCCTTCCAAGGCTGCTCCCACGTTGCCCATGCCACAGGCTGCCTTGGCAAGGATAGATAATTAGTCCAAGCCATCACCATGTGCATATCACTCATTCACATCACCTTTATATCCTTCAGGATATTTTTTATGAGGACTTTCAAGTCCTTCCACTCAGGAATAAGTCTGGGTGAAGGCGACATCCTTGTGATACTCCAGCACTTAATAGACATCTTCGATTACAGAACCTGTGGAAGGCAAAAGTGACTTAATCACAACATCTGATGTTAGACTGGAAAGTAAGGGAATTGGGAGAGGGAAGAGTAACAGGGAAAGTGAGAGAAGGAGAGAAGCAAAAGTATTCCTTTAGAAACAGGAGAAACTCTTATTTCAAAAGATAGGGGTCAGAATGAACTAATGATACTTGCAACAACATGGATGAATCTCAATACATTATAATGAGTAGAAGCCAAATGCCAAAGAGCATCTATTTGATTCCATTTACCACATGGAATTCCAGAAAAGAGTAATTTAACCCCTAGGGACAGAGAACAGATCAGTTGTTAACTGGGACTAAGAGTTTGGGAGATTGCCTAGGCAGGAGTAAAAGGAAACATTTTGAGTGATGAAAACGTTCTATATCTTGACTTTGGTAGTTGTTGCATGGGCATATTAAAAATGGGTACACTTTAGTACATGTAAATTATACCTAAATAAATATGGTGTTTAAAAGAGGACAGGAGTGAAGTGGGAGTCTTATGAAGTCTAAAACAGGAAAAAAATGCAGCAAAAGTAAGCTGCTAGGTGAGCTTCGGTGAGTCAGTTGTAGTGTAGCTATTTAAATAATACAGGAGCCTGGCATTCCGGACCTCCCGTGACTCTCTTCTTTGGGATGCTCATTTTTGTAGACATAATTATATTTATTCTCTTCACTACTGAAGCCTTCATATATGTGAAAGTAACTCACCTGTTCATCAAAGATTTACTCAGTGTTCGTTATATGCCAGGCTCTGTGCTGAGAGCTGGTGATAAAGCACTGAACAAGAATGATTATCTGCCTTCATGGAGTTTACTATCCAATATGGAAGGCAGAAAATGAACAGTTAAAATAGATGTCCAGTTCTGGCAAGATGCCAGACTAAAATAACCTGAAAGCCTCCCACTACAAACTCCTAGAAATTCTGAGTAAAATAACATGTGGCTGAATTCCAGGAGCCAGAAATGAAGATGGCAAGGGATGGGGGTGCAGGGGGAAGATACAGCAGTAAGTGCAAACTGCTTCTGTGATGGTCCTGAAGAGGTGTAGTTATCAGAGCCCCAAACTGATCATAATGGCTAGGAGCTAGGGTAGTACTGCCCTGGCTAAGAGAAGAGAAGGGACTTGGGCCCATAAGAGGTAGGGAGCCAGAACTGAGACTCCTCCATTACCTTGGAAAGAGCTACTTCCGTACATAGAGCTGGCTCATGACCAGCTTCCTGAAAGCTTACACAACTTTAAACATTTTTCCAGGCATGAGTCGGGACCCTACACATCTCCAAATTCAGGGGATACCTGAACGGGTATCATCAAGCTCTCCAAATGATTCTCTGACACATACCTCACAAGGAAGAGAAGAAAAAGGGGAGAAGAAATACGATACAGCATACCAACAATTCTAAAGAGATGATTTTAAATCTACACCTGAGAGGGTAATGAGCTGGGGTGGTGGTGGGGGTGTCACAAAAATCTTCTTCACAATCTCTTAGCAGGCTCTGCATAGGTTATCTGATATCTATTGTTCTCAGATGAAATTCCCAGAACATTGAAAGCCACATTTAACATCTTGTTATATGTGTAATATTAAAAATTCTAAGGAAACCACCAAAAAGAAAGAAACAGGTAGAATGTATGCTTTAACCAAGGGAAGAGGGATAGGAAATAAGGAAATAAGAATCAACCCAGTAGAAGAAATGTAAGACAAAACATGAGAGAAAAAAGAGGTAACATAAATAGAAAGAAATAAGGTGATAGAAACAAGTCTAAATGTGTCATTAATGTAATAAGGACAGGCTAACCTCATTAGATAAAAGACAAATTATCGGATTGGTTTTAAAAAATGAATAAAGTAAGTTGTATGCTGTTAATGAGAGAAAAATCTAAAATGCAAAACATGGAAGCTTTAAAGTATCATTACCATGTCTTCTGTTCTGAAAATCATCTAAAAGCAATAAAGAGAATGAAAAAATCTTTGCTAACTCCACATTCAGCAAAACAAGGAGATAAGTATAATCTGTAGATAACAAATTACACGTAAGAGCTGAAATCAGGGACACTTAGGAATAGGAGTTGGGAACAAGAAACTTATGGAGAGAAATTTGAGAACAAA